GCTTGGCTCCGCCGCGCCCCGGCCGCGGCGTCCGGCCCGGGTTCCGCGCCGCTAGGGCGCGGGCGGGGTCGGGGGTTGCGTGGCCGGCGCTGCTCGCCCGCCTCGAGTCCGCGTCCCGGGCCCTGGCGGCCGGCGAGCATGGAGGAGAAGTACCTGCCGGAGCTGATGGCGGAGAAGGACTCCCTGGACCCCTCCTTCACGCACGCCCTGCGGCTGGTGAACCAAGGTAGGGGCGCGCGCCGGCCCGCGGCCGTTGGAGACCCGGGAGCGGCGGGCCAGGGGGCCGGGGACCGGGAGGGTCGGGACCGGCGGGCAAGGCGGGAGCGTGGGGCTGGCTGGCCGTCGCCCTTGGGGCGACTGGAGGGGACCCAGGTCGCAACCTGGGGGCGTTCGGGTAGGGACCTGGGAGCGTACCGGACACCTGGGGAGCGCCGAGGTGTGTGTGCACATTGGGGAGACTCGGGAAGGAAGGAGGCTGAGGCGTTTGGCTAGGACTTGAAGGAAACCTTTAGGGCCTCGAGGTACCCAAGGGAAACTTATGAGTGGGGGACGGCGAACATCTGGGGGCTTCGTCAGGGCGGGGTTGAATGATCTCATTGGAGGGAGAGAGTGGGGCGGGGGACTCGGGGAACTAGTGCGTTTGGCTTGTCTGGAGGGAAGGAACTGGAGCAAGCTGGAGGGAAATGGAAGGATTTGAGGGGATCGAATGCAGAAGAGGTGAAGGGAGCAGGTGCTTGGATTGTTGGTGAAGTTTGAGGACCTTTGGAGGAGGTTTGGGGTCAGACCTCAAGCACTTTGGAGGAACAGGGCCAGCGGTCCCAGTGGCAGAGATCCGTCTCCTGTCGCATCCCCTCTTTGTCCCGGGTCCAGGCTCTAGCCGCCCTCCCTGGGTGGGCAGCTCATGCCAAGCCTTGCAGGCTGGCCCTCGAGGGCCATTAGGGGAGAAGAGGCCCACACCGGAGCCCGCTTCTTGGCTTGCCTGTCCTCTCTTTGGGAGGCTCTGGCTGGGCCGCCCTCCTTGGGGGCTGGCTGGGGATTCGGAACGCCGGCCGCGGAGCCTCTGATGCCTGTGCCATCTTAGCACTACTCCGGCCAGCTCAGGGTGTGAGCAGCCCTGGGGAATGCAGGCCACGGGGTGCAGGGGGTACAGGAGGCGTGCGGGCCCAGGACAGTGTTCCCAGGCTTGTTCCTCCTCAGGCTTCCTGAGTAATCTTCTGGGATGGACGGTAAATTAAGCCTGCCTTCCCGGGACCAGCCCTTTATTCCTCCTGGATCTGGAATACGTGTCTCAGAGAAAGCTGGGTTTGGGAGCCGCTGGTCTGCTGTTTCTCTAGGTGATGGCAGAAACATTATCTGGTCAGATCTGTTACCTTTTGCCTGAATCACTCACTGTGCCTTGACAGTCTGTGCTTCCTGACTTAGGCGGGTCTGCTGGTCTTAGTGCTGGCCCTGGCTCTTTTATTGTTGGAAGTGAAAGATGAGGCAGACATATTCTGCTTGTGTATAGATATCTATATTTTAAAACAGCGATCTCCGGTATTTGCGTGTTGCAACCAGTTCTTCCGAGTAGGGTGTGCGTGTTGTTGACTGAGGGTGGTGGTGGAGAGACTCACTGTCTCCAGGAATTTCAGCTTGATATTTAATTTGTTGAACGGAGATTGGTTCACAGAGCTTCCCCGTTTTATTTTAATTGTAGGCTTATTTTTATTTCTTTAATAACATGGGCTTGTGAAGAAGTAATGGGCACGCATTAAAGTAAGAGAATTTTAAGTTTTATTGCCGTGCTCTTCCGAACAGCCCTACAGTTAGGTTTGTACTCCTTGCTCTTTGTGATTTACATATATCTTTTGTTGCCTGCTGGGCTGTCATCTCTTTGAAAGATATTTCTTTGTACATTGTGTGAGATCACTGGCGTTAGAAATATTCTGGATTGTAGAATGAGTGCACTTTCCTTAATAAAGAAGCTGAATCAAAGTTACGTTGTACTCAATTAAGGAAGCAGTTTAACAAAAGTGTAGTAAGTTATTTTATTTTAAAAGTCAGAATTATTTTTCTGTGCCAGGTTGCTGCAGTACATTCATTCTCATACATTCAAAGTTCTTTTGGTTTCTGAGTTTGTACCTGTGGTAACTGCCTCCAGTTATTTGAAACAGATCTTGGACAGTGTTGCTATTTAGTGTTTTTTTTAAGACCTTAAACCGGATTACCTTACTTTTCCATCAAAAATGTAGTTCTTGTAAGAAGTACGCTTCTCACACCGAACAGTTATGTGGAGGAAGAAAGAGATACTGCTCAGGTGCTCTTATTACTGTTAATTTAGATTATTTCAGACTAAAATGTTTCCCCCTTAAATCACAGGCTGGTGTCTGGAATGCAGAACCCTGTCATTTAAAATATTAATTACGCTCTGTTACGTAACTTCAGAATTACAAGTGCATTGCTAAAACAGTGTCTTAAATCTGAATTGGCTATTAGGAAATTGATTTTAAATCTGATGATCATCTTGTGAGTGGCTGTTGAGAGCATTTTTATTCTTTTTTACCTGTAGTTTTGACTGTTTGCATCTAAAGGAGGCACCTGGTTTTTCAGATGTTATTCTGAATCTCGATACTGGAATCCAGATTCGGACACTAACTTGTTCAGTGCTGATGAGTCAGCAGTGCACACCTCTGTTTTATTATGGAGTGACATGTAATAGATAGACATGATGGTTAACACCTCCAAATGCTAACAGTACCTTTGTGTGCATAGTGTTCTAAAGTTTCTGAGGCTCTTTCAGGCACATGCTGTCTACTTGTGTTCTCACACTTGCACGCTGGTGAGGCAGCCTTTGATGTCTCCGTTTTTCAGGGGAGGGAGCTGAGGACCTCAGCTATGGAAGCTCGTAGGTAACTGAGATAGGTTAATCTGAACTCAGGTGTTTGGTCTCATAAGGCCCTTGTTCTCCCTACTTATGCCTTCCTCAAAAGATGGCTCTGAAACACTTCGCACATGCTAATTTACCTGCAGAAATCGATATAACTAATATGCTTGTTTCCTGTCGACTCCTGTCGGCTTCCTGTTGATTTTGTTAAAAAGTTTGTTTCTGTGCTTGTCTAGTGATCTTCTTTGAAGAAACAAACATTCACGGTAGATTTATGCTACAGGATTTTAGTGCTCAGGTCAAGGGGCATTTTTGAATTAAAGCTCTCTGGAGACCAATATATGATTTCAGTAATCAACACACTATGATAATGAAACAGTTGATAAATGAGGTTTGGTCATTCTTTTAAAAAATTCAGCATTTTTCAACTTCCTAGCTGAATTACTTTTTTTCCTAATAATGCTTAAGTAAGAACTTGAGCTGGGATCACATCAAGATGTGTGCTTCTCTGCTAACATAGGCTGGCTTTTACACTTTCCAGGCTTGTGTTTCGTAGTGGACATGAGTTCCTGACTTTTATTTCTGTTTTCTCAGGATAACTGATTTTCCTTCCCCCCACCCCTCGACTATCGAATGCTTTTGTTTCTTTGCCAATAGTAATGGGTAATGTTTACTTGATGTTAAACCGAATCAAATAAAATAGACTTTTTTTAATCGCCTCTCTGCCTCCCCCCAAACACCACTGCCTATAGAGTGAGTTGACATTGCAGTTTCTTGCCAAGGAGGTTAATTGGAGATGAAAGTAGCATTGCATGTTTAATATTATATTTGCTGGTAGGGGGTGTGCTGCCTCTTACTAAAAAACATCTTCAGAAATGTCTTACGCTTATAATTTAATCCAGTTCTCTGGTATTGCTTTGGATGTTTTTCAATCCAAGCCAACTAACCATTAAATAAGATTACATAACCCTGTATTTTTAATTATCTGATATAATATATGGATTGGTGGCTGGTTCACTGCCAAGTTATATTTAGCGGTTGGTTACAAGAGGAAGTGGAGCAAAGGATTCCAGATTATGGTGGTCTATTCATGTCGAGATAAATAAGTGTTTTCGTATTACATAAATGTCTCTAATAATAGGACTCTTAGCATTACTCAGGATATGTGTGAGGGGTAAACATGTATAAAGGAAGGATCATTATTTTGCCTTAGGTGCATCTCTTTGTTCAACAAAACTCAGTGGCTTAAGAGTTTCATTTTGGGGGATCCTTTTTGTAAATGTTTTTGATCGCTTGCGTGTTGTCAGGCATTTAAAGTAAGAGAAGAATGAGAATGAAAATTACAGAGTTATATTTAGCTGTGGTGCCTTCACGCCACAGTGTGAGATTCGCTGCTTCATGCAGAGAAGGATGTGGTTACTTACGTTTTTCATAGTTTTTCTTAGGGTTATCAGGTTTTGTTTTTTGTAAGAAAATGGATGCATGACTCACATTTTTAGATAAACCATTTCTGAATTTTTTATAGTGTGTTATGATTCAAAGGGATCCAGTGACTGTCAGTTACCGTGTTTTGGTATCTGGACGTTAGTAGCAGGTTTATTGAGAACCTGCCACGCGGGGCATTTGTGCTGGTCCTGAAGGTGGAGAGGGAAAAAGAGTCTCTGCTCTTGAGGAACGTCGGCTCTCTCTGCATTAGATTGAGAGTGAGTTTTAAGTTTGTAGATGCCCTCTCCTTTCCTAAGGAATGTCTTATTAGCCTTCAGCTATTCTTTTGAAATATTTAGTGACAGGCAGTTTAGATTTAACTCTCAGTCTAGGAACATTTTCGAGGTGCTTCTCTGTGCCCGGTTAGGTCTATAATCTCAATACTGGGAACGGCCCAGAAATGTAGAGGTTATTAGCCTAATATTTCACCTGTAGAAACCAAGACTCCAACAATAAAGTTGAGTCACCCAGAGTGACATACTTATAAAATGTCCAAGTGGAGGTTCAAGCTTTGTTCTTCTCCAAGCCCATTGTTCTTTACCGTATCACACTGAGCCTTGGACGTATAAAGGGTCAAGCTCTGATGGTACAGTTAGTAATGACAGAAGGGGGATTCATACCCTGGCCTCTTAGGCGCAGTTTGTTCTTTTCTCCCTGGCCTGTGCCAGAATTGAAAGATGGGTCATGTAGCATCTGTTGTTATACTTCAGCCTTCCGATTTCTGCTGTAGGTATCTCCTCTGACCACTTACCTCCCCCCAAATGGGTTAGAGTGCCTATTTTCTGGTCCCGAAGCAGCCGCTGCCTAAGTCTCTGATGGGGTCACAGTCATCACACTGTACTGCTTGGATCTCTTTGTCTTCCCTGCGAGAGTGTGGG